AGCTGACCTTGTAAACTTACAAAGCAAAGTCGCTGTTTAGCAAGTTGCGAGACGGTATGAAACTGCCTTTTCGCCTTAGGATGTGTTTTGGCCAAGCAAAACACTCTGATTAAGCATCAATCCTCACAAAAGGGGATGTCGTCTCTTCCCGAATGCCTCGCAAAGGAGAACAACCGAGGAAACCTAGTCAAAATCCTTACTTTTAAATCGACAAAAATGGTAAAAACTCACCCCCGAAGGACGAAGCTACGACCTCCGCCCTCTCAGATGTTTGGGTAACTGATATGCCCTTGGCGATCCTCGATCTCTTGGGAGACATAGTGAAAAGGAGGATTTTAGCCGAAACTTTGATGAAAAGCTAGGGTTTTGGAGGAAAACTCGAGGGAAAGCTCGAAAGCACCCACACACAAAAGCCCAAACTTTGGTTTCTGTCAGAGATTAGAAGAAAACTGGGCTTAAGCACTTTAGACAAGAGGCAAGAGATCAAACCTTGTCAAAGAACTTTGAAACCCTAGATGGAGACTTCCTTTCGAGCAAGATTAATCAAGATTGAAGAGATGAGGAAGGGAAAAGGGTTAGAAAACTCTTTTATGGGGTTTTTGAGGAAGTTTCGAACGCAGGAAGGCGAACAAAGATGGCCCAAAAGACCGCAAGTTTCGGACTTAAACAAATCCAACCCGATCGCGATTCCTTTGAACGAGACAGCCGAAGCTGTCTCGCACACACGAGACAGCTGAAGCAGCCTCGCACACGCGAGATAGATTATGTTGTCTCACCCAAAGTGTTCATGCAAATTAAAGCATTTCACCTCCTATGCGCTTTTCGATGCAACCTCAACTCATTTCCAGTACATCGCAAACCTCCGACTGGTATACGAAGATAAAGTGCTCCCTAAACTCTGATAAATATACGAATATAAACTGCTTCTTCATGATCCTCCGACTTGTATATGAGGTTAAACTGCTCCCTAAACTCCGATGGTTATACGAGTATAAACTGCTTCTTCATGCTCCAACGTCTTAAGAGCTTAAACTATGTAGACTCTAACTGCGTACGAGTATAAACTGTGGTTGCACTTCAGCAGAAGTCAACTTTCAGCGACGCTCTAGCGGTTACACTAAGATCCAGCACATGTTGTGGAGGTCTTCTTCTAAAATTATCCTTGGGAGTTCAATTACAATTCAGCTATGAGCTCTTGACAAAGATGATCAGTTCAGTGTCAACTCAACGACACGAGCTAATTTAACTTCTCAAAAGTTAACACATCAACTTCAGTTCCAGATTTCAACAATGATCAACGATGTCGCAGTACCAAAAGTATTTTAGACTCCTCGATAAAATACCGAGAAAGTCGAAAACTAAAGAAGTCAAGAAACTGAAGCCACTTACGAGTCCTTCTACACAGTCCAACATTAGGCAGAAGCAGTGAAAGCACCCTAATGTCACTAGGAAAGAACCCTAGGGGGGTGAATAGGGTTTTTGCTAATCTAATCCGATTTTATGCCAAATTAAAACTTATTAACAAATATATCCTAGCAAATAAGATATGAACAATATATGTGCAAGGATATACAAATAACACAAGGGTAAACAATCTAAACTAGATAGTGAGCAATATAAATAACAAGTAATATACAAAGACGATATAAGATATGAACATAAAAATAAGTGCGCCAATGCAATCACAAACAAATGATATGATCACGGAGTTCGGTCTCCACGATCTACATCTCCACACCTTACCTCGAGGAGATCTTCACTATTACAATCGGGTTTTCTACGCTCACCCGACTAACATTTACACCACACACTCGGTTTTCTAGTTCACCGTAAACTTTACAATCACTCACAATGTAAACACACTAACTACCACCTTAAGTGTTGGTCTCTAGCCCGTGTCTCCCTCAAGTATTAGGAATTACAACCTCTCTCTAGGTATTACTACATACCCCACTTCTCATGGGACGACCCCATCTCTCACCACACACTCCTCTTGGTATACTAGTATAATACAAAGTGAACCTCACAATAATAGCTCACAAATCAAATGATTGTTCTCTAAACAAGGTGAGAACTCAATTAAGCACAACTCAAAGTTACAATCTCTCACAACCCCAACTATACTATGTATGAAATACTATAAGCTCAAGTGGATGTGTATGACAATGAGATTTAATAAAACAAACTAAACTCAAATAAATACTAGCTTAATAAGATAATAATCAAACAATATAAATGTAAAGCTAGATTGAGTTTAGAAAACTTCTCCAATGATTGACAAGAGAGAGAGAGAGAGAGATGAGTTGAAGCTCAAACACCAAAGGATGATCCTTTCTAGCTCTTGTGAAAATTTCTTCATAAACCAAACTCTTAAACAAACACTAAAACAAACTTGAACACCCTTAAACTTGTTTAAACAAATTTCTTGGATGGTTTTTGGTCTAAGGTATGAGGGGTATTTATAGAGACCCTAAAACACAAGAAAAACAAGGCAAAAAGACAAAAAATCTAAAACAGAACAAGGCTGAAAAAAAACTAGTCGTTACAGCATCAGTCGACTGACGGCTTTCATCAGTCGACTAACGACTTTCATCAGTCGACTGATGAGCTGGCCATTAGAGACGTTTTCCAGCTCATCAGTCGACTGACGGACCTTATCAGTCAACTGATGACCTCATCAGTCGACTGGTCAGTCGACTAAAACAAAACAAAAACTTTTTGTTATTCCAGGTGATTTCTTCAGTCGACTGAACACATTCATCAGTCGACTGATAACACTATATCAGCCTGATTAAAACAGAAAAATCTGATTTTCAAACCTATTTTAAAAATAGCAAATAAAATCAGAAAAATATAAAACTTTGAGAAATGATTGTAAACATGATAATATACATGTTACAAAAACTGGTTTTTAAAAAACACCTCTCAAATGAGAAATCTCTTTATTTTTTAAAATAGTCCAAAACATGAAAATGAACAACACTTGTTTTGTCATTTTGACTAAATCATGTTTTAAAACTTTATAAAATAATTTTATAGACTTAATAAAATATCTATAAAATGATATTGAAGTCTATAAACTAATAAAACAATGTTTTCATAAAAACACCTATATTTTGATAAAATCAACCTATAAACTAATAAAACAATGTTTTCATAAAAACACCTATATTTTGATAAAATCAACAAATACGTGTGTGATTAATATGAGCTTAAAGTATTAACATATTTTGATAAAATCAACAAATACGTGTGTGATTAATATGAGCTTAAAGTATTAACACACAAGTATAAATCTATACTACAAATTCTATAAACTATATACCCAAGCTTGAAGGTCTTCAATATAGCTTGACTTGGTAAACTTTGCGGATGAAGCTTGAATTTGGATCTTCAACTTAAATTATATTACTTCATTCCACTATTCCGCCAACCTCCATTGGATATGATTGTGAATGCTCGATTCTATCCATTCTCTAACTTATTATTTGCCTAGAATAAATACAAAATACAAACACTAGACAAATAATATTAGTTGTAAATTATTTGTTAATTATCATCAAAACAAAATGACCCAACAAGCAGGGTCTATCTTGTCCAAAGTATTTCAGACTCATCGATAAAATACTAAGGAGGCTAAAAACTTTAGAGGGGGTATCTGTAGGCGTCAGAAATTACCTATAGATCCCAAACATAGCTCAAGACAGAGAGAAAACGAAGAACATCACCATCTAAGTCAGAGAAGACTAGCCAATGCAGAAGGAATCAAAGGAGTACGCAAAATAACTCAGAAAAGAACTCGGAGCTGTCTCATAGTTGGGGAGACAACATCCACTGTCTCGTGTATTCGAGACAGTGTTCACTGTCTCGGATACGCGAGACAATGAGAGCTATCTCACCAACTGCGAGACAACCACTTGGGTTTTCTGATGGTTTTATGACTTTTTGCGGGGACCACGTGACTCCATAACTATTGGAAAACGTTCATTAACGTTAATGGACAGTTATAGCCGTGAAATATGCCCACTACCCATGCAAATTACGGCATTTAACGCAATTTAAGTAGTGGGACAGCGGTTACAAACTGCCTGGAACTGTCTTCTTTAGTCGAGAGTAAATACTGTCTCGCCCAAAGGAGGTAGTGATCGTTAGTTGTTTCAACTTCTTTTCGACGATTACAGTTTCCAATGGCTATAAATACCCCTTGGCACACTTGTGCACGGGGCACGGACAGAGGAGGAATTATCAAGGCAGAGAGACAAGCATTTGGCAAACTTTGAGAGCAAGAGAGAGTTATTCATCCACTTTCAAGCACCCTCAAAGCCTTCTGGTTTTCCTTGAGTTCAAACTTAGATTTGATCTCGTGAAGAGTGTTCATCTTACTTTACTAAGATATTCACTTCAGTTCTTGTTTCCACGTCGAAACATCAACCTTCTTCGTTTCTAGCATGGAACATTGATTCGGTGGTCCACAGATAACTCATCCCCAGTACAGGCAAAGATCCCACGCAAGCAGAGGCTTCTACGTAGGAGTTTATGTGTGTGTTTCTAGGGAGCACAACAACTTTGTTTCTTTGTAAAGAAGAGTTATCCACGTGTAAGCTCATTCATTTGTTTCTGTTAAAACGTTTTAATGGAAGCAACAAATAGAATTGTTCCCGACGCAAACAATATTAGCTTTTCGAACTGGTTTTATGTTAAAAAAAATATTTCAAATGCATTTCTCTTTTGCATGTTTATGGTGGTTTGAAAAAAAATGTAAATATTTCAAAGGTAGGCATAGAGTTAGGATTTTGTCGAGTGAACCGCGCTCGCTTCATATATGTTAGGAGTCCATCGGTGAAAATGGACATGCTTGTTGAACTCAATTCCAATTTTTGGACAAAAAGAACGCTGGCAACCTAAAAGGAAGAAACGAAAGGACAGAATGGTAAATAAATTGCACGTGACGTACACGTGCTATTCGGTTCGACTGACACCCACTTCGGTCAAGAAGAGCAGGCAAAGAAAACTCCCTCACCCACATCGAATCCCATACCCCCTTTCCCTCTTCGTAAAATCCCCTCCTCTCTCAAACCCTAACCCTAGCGAAAAATTCTTTCATTTCCTGCAAAATCCTTTGCAATTGGTCTCAGATTGGAGCTTCTCCGAAGTTAGGGTTTCTGTTCTTGGGGTGTTCAGATGCCGGAGGAAGAGGATCTCGTCGAGCTCAAGTTCCGTCTCTACGATGGATCCGATATCGGCCCGATCCGATACTCCTCGTCCGCCACCGTCGCCATGGTCAAGGAGAGGATCATCTCCGAGTGGCCCAAAGGTTATAGATCTCTGCTCCGCTCAATTATTATCTCACTGTTTTTGAATTAGATGAAACTGTATGGGTATCGTTATTTTGATGCAAGATTGGGACTTTAATAGCGAGAATTGTGTGTTGTAGTTGTTTGGAAATCGAATTTTTTTAAGGTTTTGGATGGAGAGGAAAATGGTTGTTTATAAAGGAAGATAGTGCAATGATGAACTGGTTGAATGACCATGACCATTTACTTAATTGGGCATGGTACTGAAAAATGATAAATATTTAAGAAAATTTCTATAAAAAGTGAGATTTTATATGGTAAATTGTATTTCCTTGTGTATTGGACTCAGTTGTAGTCAGTATTAAGACCTACATTAGTATTGACAACTGGACGTTGTTGAGAGTGCACCATGCTTTGCTGCCTTTGTTCAGCAGCACATTCAATCTATTGAAGCATTTAAAAAATTCGTCTACAGAATGAAATTCACACTCTTTGCAAATTCTTATTAGTTAGCATCTCTCTGCCAGTTGTCCTCCTAATGGACTTCTTTAACAAATGGCTACAGGGTCGGATACCCCCAAAGACACCAACACATGCAAAGAAACAATGTTACGGAAGGCGCTAGGCGGACTAGGCGTTTGAGCCGGGGGCCTAGCGCCTAGGCGTTTGCCTATTTTTAAATTTATTTAATTATAATAGTTCACAAAAATATGTATTAATTTCATATAAAATTGTAAACAAACATAAATAATAATATTAGATCCATAATTAACCATGCATAAATACTAAATAGTTAAAATAGTAACCAAATACTAAAATACATCACCATGTCCAGCATAATCAGTTAATCATAGTGAAAAAAGTAAATCAGTGAAAAAAAATGAAAATTTTACCTTGAAAAGAGAAGAGGAGGGCTGGCGATGAAGAGGAGGAGGCGGGGAAGAGGAGGAACCGAGGTGGCTCGAGGTGTAGTGATCAGCTCGAGGAGAAGGCAGTGGCGAAGAAAAGGAGCTTGCGAAGAGGTGGCGGGATCGAAGAAGAGTTGGCGGCGAAGAGGATGAGGAGGAGGTAGCGAGAGAGGAGGCAGTGCCAAGAGAGGAGGCGGCGGTGCCGGGAGAGGAGCAGCGATAGAAGAGGAGGCTGGGGGAGATTGAGAAGAGGAGGCGACGGGAATACACGAGAGAGGGGGATATAGAATCAAAGAGATAGGGTTAGTTTAACAGTTAGTAATGGGTTCGGGTTTGGGCTGGGTTTTAGTTTAAAATTAGTTTTTTTTTTTCTTTTTTTGTTCAAAAAGCTAGGCGGACCTAGGCGCCACCTAAGCGGAGCGGTCGCCTAGGCTGACCGCTCAGGACAAATCTAGGCGGCCAAGGCTCCACCTACGCCTAAGTGTTTGCCTAGGCCGCTTTTTACAACACTGCAAAGAAAAGAGAAACAATGCCTCAATAAGACTACTGCTAATGTTTCTCTTCTTAACCCTCTTTATTTGATTCTGCTTATATTCGTAGGTCAGCAGAAGAGATGTCTAATGATTGGAAGAATTATTCTTGCTTTCTTGGTAGGGAAAATAGGTAGAAAGAGTAAGATGGGGCATGATATAAAAGGAAAGAAGAAAGATAAAAGGAAGTTGAGATTGCACAACTTTGATATGTTGTTTTGACAGTAAGGCAACACGATAAACTTAAAGATGGTGTTACTGTGGTTGTGTAGCAAGGGAAAAAAGTGGTTGTTTAGCAAGGGGAAAAAAAGGAGAGGCATGTAAGAAGAGGTGTAATCAAATCAATCATACAAAATATTTTAATTTGCTTTTGGAGCATAGCTCGTCAATTTGGTATGTCGACTCGTATGTCAAACAAAAGAAAAGCATACTTTTTGAAGGACTTATAGATTCAATTTCAAGATTATACATCGTTAATCTTTATTTGGAGTCCTCATACTCTATTGTTTGCCATAGTCTTAAACAAGTTGTGTTGCAGTAGGGACATGCTCTTTGTCAATCTTCATGTCGTAGCCAACTGCAATCACACTCTTGTAACACCTTAGAAATTGGCAACATGATTTTCTTGATGTTGGGGTTAGTGGCTTGAGGTAGTGAGGCTAAGCGTGATTGAAACTGCGAGGCAAAATCAATTGTGAAGATGTTGACAGTGTTGGTAGCATTAAATCAAGGGGTGAAATGTTGATGATCTTTCAACTATGTCATGTAGGAGACTTGATGATGAAGTTATCAATGTAATGATTGTAGGAGTATCTGGAGGATTAGTCGAATTAATTGACAGAGTTGGAATATGGTTGTTATACGTAGGAGGCGATATATGGTGATATATCTAGATTAATTTGATCTACTTACCTAGAACTTTCTTGAAATGAAAGATCTAAATTCTGAAGCTCATAGCTGCTTGCTGACTAAATGATGTGGGATCCAATTGGTGGTGCAGTTATTATTAAACTAGTCAATAGTTAGGTACGAAAAATGCATGGTGCTGCAAGCGAAATAACAATATCTTTGGCGGGCTACTTTGATAATTGATGGGTGAACAATTAGATAACTTGTTCATCTTGCTGTTGCACCTTTCTCATTGAATTTCTAGGAGATATCTTTATGAAAAGTACTACTATTGCTCAATTTGACTTTATTGCAACAAATAAGGCTTTCCTTTTGTTAGATGATCACCCTGCGAAGTACAACTATGTCTCTTTTCTTTTTTTTTGTATTTGGTGTTGAAGTCTTAAATTAGCATTTTCGAACTTTGTCATCTACTCATCTTTAATATAAAATTTTAAACTTTGTGCTCTTCAATACAGCACTAAGAACCAACTTATTGTCAAAGTCGACACTGATGGGGGGTTATCCTTTGAAAACTAGCCCATTACAACCATGATTGCATTCTTTTGACAAACATGGATGAGTTGTTTATGGTAAGCTTAGCTATGATGGTTTTAGTTGAAGGACACAAATTTGAATAGCTCTTGATAGGAAATGAATTTGTAATGTTTATTGTGTTTAGATTGGGTCATAGGTAGCGCAATGTCAAACGTAAACGATGGCTCATGATGTACTATTTGTGGTAGATATTGTTGAGGCCATGGTAATAACTAATAAGTTGACACAATGGATGTTAGGCGATGAATGCAGTTTAAACTCTAGGTAGTCTTGAGGGGCTCATAGTGAAAAGGTTAGTGATGGAGCTAGTTTCATGGTTAGTTGGTATCGAATGGTAAGGAAAAATTTATAGCAGAAGCCCTTCAGGTGTTAGTAGTATGATAGGGACTTGAGTGTAGGGTGTTAGAGTTGTAGGCAACGAGATATGCTAGTGAGTAGTAGCAGAAGGGCTAAGTTAGTGGTTGCCAAATCAAATTTTAATGGTGGTAGTTATGGTTGTGAGATATCGATGATAAGTAATGTACAGTGTGATAGGAAATGCTAAATTATTGATCATGGTGATCAATGAATTTGTTTGCAGAGGATTCATGTCCTCATGGTAGTCCCTCAGTGATCTATAATTGTTGCACATACAAGCAAGTCAAACTTGTTCAACAAAGTCAATCTTATTTATTAGAGTAGTTAGTATATTAAAGAAGTCAGAGAAACATGATATAAGAAGTTAGAGAAACATGCTTAGTCACGTATTGGAAATTATTTAAGTGGCCTATTTGCTTTACTGTGCATAAAATTTAGACTATTAATCTAGGGATTAAGTCACTTTTGTAGCATACGATGATATCAAAGTAAAGTTTCTAATCTTTGAAACCCTTATTATTCCTAAATTTTAGGACTGCTGCCACAAGCATCATCCCTACACTTGTCATTGCTTCGTGACTTTTTCACCTCATTCTTCTGCTGTTCAAAGGAATTCCTCAATGCCCCCGGCTAAAGGGATAAAAAACATTCTCCTCCCCTCTATCTGACAGTCTACCCCCTTTGCACCCATATTCCCAGCAAGGAAAATTTCTCAAATTCGAACCCTTCCTTCCATTTTATCCCCCTCCAATTTGTTGTGGAGTCCTTTAACACCAACATCTTCATGCAGAATTATAAGGAGGGACTTCTATTGCCTTCCTTAGTAGCTAGATGATTGCTAGCGTAAAAGGTGCGAATCAGGCCTCATTTGTTGCCAGATTTTGCTTTTGCAACCTATAGATTGGTTCCAGAATCCAATCAACAACACTATGCCTGAATCCTTTCCATTTCATTGAATCCCACAGAATAATAAAACTGGATTAATCGACATACGACAAATGATTTTGATCAACTCCCTTAATTTACTAGATATACTTGTATCCTTAATCCATGCCAAGTACAACTAACATACATGTTCTTCCTTTTATAGACGTCAACCTCATGTTCTATCAGCAGCATTTTATTATTTTACAAAAGCCATTTATGATCTCTTTTTATCGCTTTAAATCTTTCCACTTATTTACATTTTAATTCTTTAACTCCTATGAATAGATCAAGTTCATTTATAGAATAGCTTGTCTGAAATTGTTTATACTGATCTGAATGGTTGGGAAACAAGTTCTATGATGTGGATGTGATGTGGTCAGAGGCTGTTTTATTCAAGTTCTATTGAATTCTTTGTTACCACTTCCCTTTAAAATTTCGGAAAGAAACCTTTTTAATTTTCAATCCTTAAGATGAAGATGTTGTGTGGCTTTGAAATATTATCTGATAGCATTCTGTTTTCATTATGAACACACTTTTTTTGTCTGCTGTCGAGTTGTTAGTATTTGGTAATTCTCAGTCTATTTCGTATGTTCATGAGCTGACAAGATTCTTTTGGCCTGCTCAATAAGGTTGGATTTGTGTCTTGTGATCAACATATTTTTTATGATTGACTTGTGGATATTTTCGGGCAGTGGATTTGATACCAGTCAGTTCCTTCACGTAAAAAGAACAAAAATGTTCTCCGTATTTCAATAAACTAGTATTTAAACCCGTGCAAAGCACGGTTCCTAAAAGATTTTGTCTTTTTTGTTTATTCTTTTGTGGTCTTCGACATAAAATGTATGGAGAAATGTATGTATGTTCATGTATCTATTATTAATTTTAAAAATTGTTTCTGCTCTCACTTTTTTTTTTGAATTCTGATGGCAGTGTCAAACTCCTTGACATCTATAGAAACTGGCACAATATCAGTGTTGCTTCTGGTTTAAATGACCCAGTTGTTGCTACGGGGATATCTGACCTTATATACGAATCTAAAGAAACACATAAAGATCCTGGTTCCATTGATCCTGACTTGGCAATGGCATGGGCAGAAGACTACTTAACCCGTGCATTGCATTTAAGCAATTAATTGATAGTTCAAATAAAAATGCACACCCACATAAAAACTTTTTAAATGCATATAAAAAATCTATCGTTAATTAAAAAAAATTGCTTCGGGTTAAAAAATGCATTCCCTTGAATCAGCTACCAGAAACTTGAAAAGAAAAAAAGGAAAGAAAACCATGATAATTGATGAATAAATGCTGTAAAACATCAAAAAAAAGGCAGAGAAAATTCCCAAATTAGATATTTAGTCTGGGCAAGCTTGGTGTGCCTTGAATCAGCTACCAAATATAGGAATATAAAAAGGTTCAGAACAATGAGAGGAGTCTGAAAATCAGAGGTATGTAAATCTGTGTCGTCTTTAGCTTATGTGGGCAGAGATAGTTGATAGCTTAATGCTGGCAACCTGCAAATGCTAGAAGACTTCATTAAGACTTTCATTCCACTTGTATTCGATCAATAAATTCCAATACTTTTAGTGGTGCTTCTCTGCTGATTTTTATCTGTGTGATCTTGCCATGACAGCATGCTGTTAAACTCAGTTCGATTATGCAAAAAAAGCGAGAATACATCATGAGTTTCAACAATTGCTGATCGCAGTACTCAGAGCAACTAACACCATATTTGCATGAAACCAAAAGATACATATCTACTGATCATTCAAACATTAGCACGTGATATTGTAGCCCATGTAAAGGCATATACTACTTATTCATGATGGATAAGTGAATTTTCTCAATTAAGATTGACTTAGGATTAGTTATGCAAAATTGTCAAAGACACTTAATGTTAGATAATGGTTCACATCAGTTAACTTAATATGTCCGATTAGCTGCTCTTGCTTGTACATAAGTCAAAACTGATGTTAGGGTATACTCACAGCTTTAATCTTATGAAAAGATAAACATTTTTATAGCTCAATTAGAAGAAACAGAAGCTATCTTATGAAAAGATAAACATTTTTATAGCTCAATTAGAAGAAACAGAAGCTATCTTATGAAAAGATAAACATTTTTATAGCTCAATTAGAAGAAACAGAAGATATACCTGGAAAATAGACTTGTACACTGTCATTTCCAGAGCTCTCTACAGTTCTCTACTCCAGTTACAACGCCTTCCCACTGCCCATCACTCCACCAAGCATCCACAGGGGTTCCAATCTCCAAAGCAACATTTTCCATAAGACAATCAATTGAGGGAGACGGTCGAATATTGAGGCGTCCTGAACATCTCATAACCAGCTTATCAGGGGCTACCTTTCTCAAGGCAAGAACTCATAATAACCAACTTAGTTTCTAATCTTATAAGACTCAATACGCACTGAGAAAAAACTTCCTCTAACAATTGTTGCATTAGCACATGATTCATTATCAATTACAACCCTAACATGGAACAAATTCAAGAAATTAGAAGATTGAAAGTAAATGAATAAAAGAATAGACCAAAAAAACCAAAAGATGCAAACCTTGGTGGGTTCATTCTCTGATTGAATATTTCGTACTCATCGTCATTGTCCTAATGAGAACTCATCAAATCTGTCTCTGTAAAATTAAACCCAGAAAATGGAAAGAAATTTAATTATCAATCAACAAAAAAGACACCCTAATGCCCATATTAAAAATCCCCAAAATGAATCAACAACATAGAGAACCAATTAAAACCAAATAATTAATTCTTGTAAAATCACAAAATCAACTCGACAAGAAAATATTTTTAGAGGAAAACCGATTGAAGACATCAAAATAATTGATGGGTCCATTCTAAAATCATTAAGAATTAGAAAGGGAACGAATTAAAATTGCAAGAAAGAAGGATTACCCATTTGAGAGAAAGGAATCAAGAGGGTCGTTGAGAGATCAAACAACCTGTTTATCGAGAGGGTTATTGAGAATTAGGGGGTGAGCGACGCCAGGAGCGGGCCGCCGGCGAACTGGATAGTGTAGTTGGAGTCAGAGATCGAGCTTTTTAGGGTTTCGGCCTTGGAGAGGAGGGAGCGGAGGTCGTCGAAGGCGCGATTGAAGTCCTGGTAGTGAGCTTTGCAGACGGACTCGATCTCGGACTCTTTGGATCGGGCGAAGAGGCGGAGGTTGTGGAGGAGGGCCTCGGGCTTGAACTGGGCGAAGAAGCGGCGGATGAAGGGGGAGAGGTCGTCGCCGTTGGAGATGGCGGCGGAGAAAGATCTCGTCGTCGTCGTGTCGCCACCGTCGGTTGAGAGTGGAAGTGGGGAGGGAGAGAGATCGCGAGAGCGGAAGGGGGGTTGAGATCGAAGAAAGGATGGAGCGTGGGAAGTTTGGGAAATGGGAATGTGGGAGAGAACGTGGGAGTAAATGGATGGGTTGAAACATGGGTTCTCATTTTATTTTTTATTTTCATTGTTTAGAAACTTATGTTACTGTTCATTATAACTTTTTGTTGTTCTCCTTTAGTAATAAAGAAGTAGATATGAACACATACTTCTTTTGTTTGATGTCAAGTTGTTAGGATTTTACAAGACTCATTTTGTATCTTGTGATATTGAGCAGACAATATTCTTTTGACTTGCTCTATAGAGTTAAATTTGTGTCTTGCGATCAACATAGATTTTATGATTGGCCTGTGGGCAGAGCCTGACAGAGTCAGGCTGTGGGTTTAATGACCAGTCTGATCCATCACCGAAAAAGTAGTACAAAACTGTACTCCATTTTTTAATAAATATGAATATTTCAAAATTTTATTTTAATTCTTTCTCTAAGACTTGATTTTACATATTTCAGACAAATATGAATACTCCATGTTTTAGCTTAATTCTTCCTTTAAGAATGTAACATAATTCTTTTTAGAGATCGGCTGATGATGATGAAGCCTTGCTAGAACTGAACTCTTTCTAGAGTTATGTTTTTTTTGGAACTTGTTAGGGGGTTTATTTTGTTTTGTTATTGTGGATGTATCAGCTTAAAAGTGGTTGCTACTATTAGAGTGGAGAGTACTTTTTAGTGTCTATTTTCTTTATTAAGTGTTTTTAGTCCCACATCGGGTACACTTGTTATCTTCAACTATTTATCTATCTATATAATAAATAGGACCGATCCGATCCACTATAGGATCAAGTCACTTTTCCCACAATAACGTGGTATCAGAGCATGTTATTAAAATTCCTTTTTCTAAACCCTAATTCTACCTATTTCCACCGTCACCTACTCCATCTTCATGGCCTTAATCCACTTATTCTTTTATCTTGTTCCTATCCCATCATTTACGTACACTTTTGTCTTTTTCCTAACTTATCTTCATCTTCTTCACCAGCCTCTAACAACCCGTCCTTGTCTCACCCTTAAAGAAAAAGCACATCCATCTCTTTTAAAACCAAAACCCCAACCCGTCCTTGTCTCACCCTTAAAGAAAAAGCACATCCATCTCTTTTAAAACCAAAACCCTAACTTGACCTGATCCATCTCCTCTCCTAAAAGAGAAACCTTAATCCTGAACTGCTCCATCCCCAATCCTGAAACCAAAAACCTAACCCCCCTAACCTGATCAATGTTCCCTGAAATATTGCCCAAGATTCGTCCTCGACCATAACATTATTTGCGACCTCGATTCAAGCATCGACCTAGTCTAGAACTTCAACGAAATTGGCCTAGTTTGCGTCCATGTCTTCATCTCCTCTAAAGTTAACCACCTCCAACATCACAACATCACAGAATCTTGACGACGTTGCATAGATCATGATAGTTCAGATATAATCATTGTTACCCCATCAACGACGTACTCCTAGATCCTCACTGCCATGTTGATGCCTGAGCACTTCCAGACCCTCTGCTCTTCATCCCCTTCGACAATCATCATGATTGTTGTGAGTTGAAGTAATTTCTTTCATGCAACAAAGTTTTTTTTGACACTACTGTTATTATCTGTCCTTTTCTTTCTACACCCCAACTACTATTTATGGCTACTACCAAGGAGGACCGTGATCACTTGCAGATCACCACAACTAAACTCAATTGAAATAACTATTTGATATGGGAGAAATCAGTTCATGTTTATCTGAGTTCTAAGGGAAAGTTGAAGTTGATCATGTTCTTTAAACCTTATCTTTCTGTTGCTACCTCTACTATTGCTGCTGACAAGGATGTTGAGAAAATCAATGTTAAGAAGATTAAGGAAGACTAGGAACACAACTCAGCTGTTATGACTTGGAAGTATGGAGCCACACGTATCCACTCACTTCATTTTTTTGGATATTGCTAAGGAGACCTAGGAAGCTATCAGGGACGCTTATTCTATCAAGCAAAATACTTCACGAGTGTTTGATGCATATAAGGAGTTCTTTAGTATTCTGCAGGGAGACAAGAGTTTGGAGTATTATAGTCAGCTAAAGGGGATGCACGATCTCCTTAACCAGTACCATCCTCTGATTGCAGGTATTCATACTTGAAGAAACAACGAGAGAATCTTTTTGTCTACAATTTACAAGCTAGTTTGAATTCGACTTTGAAACCACTACGAGGACACTTCTTAGCATCAGAAGGCAGATTACCGTCTCTTCATGAAGCATTCTCTTCTCTCTTAGGTTGTGAAGACACTGCTACAACCCTCGGTTGCTAAGACTTCTGCATTTCTCTCGTCCGCAAGATCTCCAGTCTTTTCGTGGACATGGTGGATTTATTCCCGAGACGTGGTGGGCGCACTGATCATGATGGTCATGATGGACATGGTCGTGGTTGAGGAAATGATTCACGTTTTTGTACTCACTATACGCAGACAAAACATTATGTGTTGGGAGCTTCACAACGAACCAGAGTGGTCACAATCTCTACATAAGTCGTATATACATGATGAATGCGGCTTATCTACCTCAGCTACGAAGGAATCTTCAGCTATCCATCCATCTTCAGCTATCCATCCATCTTCAGCTAATGAGCATGTTTTTATGAGTCGGCATTTACTTCAAAAGTTGCCACTTTAGCCCACCTAGGTATTATTTGTCTTGCTAGTGCACCTTCTACTTTGTGGGTTATTGATTCTGGAGCCTCTTCATGTCTTATGGGTAAATCCACAAAATTTTCACAGTTTTTGCTAGCTCATTCTTGACCTTCTATTTTATTTGCTGATGGGCGCTCACGCGCTATCCTTGGCACCGGCACAATTATACCTACTCCTTTACTTTGTCAAACGTCAATTATATTCCAGATGTTCCTTTTAATCTTATATCTGTTAGCCGTTTGACAAAATCTTTAAACTACTCTATAATGTTTTCTCCTTCATCTTGTGTATTTTAGGATCTTCACAAAAAGAAGATGATTGGTGAGGGGTATGAATGTGATGGGTTGTACTATCTTCAAGGTACTGATGGACAATTCGGTAACATTCCATCTGCTGCTTCGGATGTTTTTGCTCTTCGGTGGCGTAATCGTTTAGGCCATGCATTTATTAGGTCATTGCATTCTATCATTCCTTCTACTAAGTCCGTCTCTAAATTAGAATGTATTTAATGCCAACTAGGAAAGCGTCATAGGATTACCTTTGTTTCAAGGGACAATAACAGATGTCTTTGATATTATTCATACAGATATTTGGGGTCCTACTTGTGTTCAATCTTTTTTAGGCTTTTCTTACTTTGTGATATTTATTCATGACTATTCTCATATGACATGGTTATTTTTGCTTGGAGATCGTTCTGAGATTCTATCAGTTTTTAAAGCTTTTCATCAAGAGATTTAGACGCAATTTAGTTCTTTGAAAATTTTACGCTCTGATAATGCTGCTGAATATTTGCAAAAAACTTTTTAACATTATGTTCTTTGCACAGTATTATTCATCAGACATCTTATGCTCACACCACAACAAAAATGGTGTTATTGAGCGTAAGAATCGTCATTCTCTTGATATTGCACGAACATTTTTACTTAATATGCATGTACTAAAGTATTTCTAGAGTGATGCCGTGTTAACTGCTTGTTATTTGATTAACCATGTGCCTTCAATTGTTTCAAATAATACCTATATCTATGCTATATAATGATATGAATAAAAAGGTTTTGACATACCTCTTAATGTTTTTGGATGTCTTTGCTTTATTCAAATTCTTGATAAAGGGCATGATAAATTAGATACTTGGGCTATAAAATGTGTTTTCTTAGGATACTCAAGAACTCAAAAAGGCTATAGATGTTGGAATTCTGAAACCATGAAATACTTAGTTTGTGCTGATGTTACATTCTTTGAAGATACTCCTTATTTTACATTCTCCACATGTGAGTCTCCTCTTATAGATGCACCTTTACCTATATAGGTTATTTCTGGGGAATCAGCCACATCACCGCCATAAGAAAATGCCTCTGATCTTCCTATTACCCTTCGAAAAGATAAACGATCTTGTGCCAAGAAAAATTCCACTAAAAACTTTATTTCCTTTGCCATTTATCACCACATTATGTTGCCTTTGCCTCTTACCCTTTGTGTCTACTTCTAAATCCTTTCGTGAAGGTATTTGAGATCCAAGGTGGAAAAATGCAATAGATGAAGAAATTACTGCCTTGCATTCTAATGAAACTTGGGAAATTACTATACCATCAGGAAAAGTTACAGTTGGTTGTCGATGGGTGTATGCAGTGAAATTTCTTTTGAAGGTCAAGTGGAGCGATTAAAGACTCGTCTATTTGTTAAAGGGTATAGTTAAACCTTTGGCGTCGATTACTTTTGAGACATTTTCTCTGGTTGCTCTATTGCATTCAATGCGGATTTTATTATCTGTTACAGTTGTGAAAACTGGCCACTTTTTCAACTAGATATCAAAAATGCCTTCTTGCATGGTGATTTGCAAGAAGAGGTGCATATAGTTCAACCACCAGAATATGAAGTTCAGGAGGAGCCTAATAAGGTTTGTCGCCTTAAACAAGCCTTTGAAGCAATCTTCTTGTGCATGATTTGATAAATTTAGAACGGTGGTTAGCAACTATGTCTTGAAGCATAATGCATTGGGTCATTCCATTTTTGTGTGACATTCTAGCACTGGTACTATTGTCCTTGCTCCTTGCTGTATACGTGGATGATATAGTTATATTAGGAGATGAACATCAAGGCATTCGAGATTTGAAGTTATATTTTAGTTCTCGCTTTCATATGAAAGATCTGGGAGTTTTACGATACTTTTTTGGGATAGAGGTTGCTTGTTGTTTTAAGGGGCTAGCTTTATCTCAAAGGAAGTATCTTCTCTATCTCCTTGATGATACTGACATGCTTAATTCCAAGCCAATTCGTACGCCTATGGACTCTCAAATTAGATTGGCAATCTTATCTATTTGACGGATACACATTTCGGATATCACTTATGTTGTTGGAGTTCTCAATCTATATAAATGCAGAATCCACATCAATGACATTGGTCTGCAGCTTGTCGGGTACTACGATGCTTAAAAGGAGCAATAGGGAAAAGACTTCTTTATTGTATTTCCAACAATTTGGATATTGTAGGCTACTCTGATGCTGACTTGGCAAGTGATCCTCTTTACTGACATTTAATTAGTGGTTATTGTACTTTTATTGGAGGCAATTTGATCATTTAGCGTAGTAAGACAAACAGTTCTTGCCCTTTCCAGTGCCAAAGCTGAGTACAGAGCTATGGCTCATGTCGCATGCGAGATGACTTAGGTTGGTCACTATCGTAGGAGATGGGCATTGCTTTCTCAAAGCCCATGACTTTACTGTGACAATCAGGTAATTATCTACATTGCCAGCAATCTTGTGTTTCATGAGTGGACAAGGCATGTTGAAGTGCTCTGTCATTTTATCCGTGGTACGGTGTTATCCAAGAAGATTATTACTCCACGTGTAACTATCTACATTGCCAGCAATCTTGTGTTTCATGAGCGGACAAGGCATATTGAAGTGCTTTGTCATTTTATCCGTGATATGGTGTTATCCAAGAAGATTATTACTCCACATGTTCGATCGACTGATCATATTGCTAACATACTTACAAAAGCCTTGCCACGATCATTCTTTGATGCACTTTGTAACAAGCTGGGCATGGTTGGCATCTTTGCACTAGCTTGAGTGGGAGTATTAGAGTAGAGAGTATTTTTAGTGTTTATTTTCTTTATTAAGTGTTTTTAGTCCTACATCGGGTACACTTGTAATATTGAACTATTTATCTATCTATATAATAAACAGGACTGATCCACAATAGGATCAAGTCACTTTTCTCACAATAACAGTTGCTATGCCTTTTACTTGGTTTTTTTTCACAGTTAGTTGTTGAACTCTAAATTCCTACTACAATCGTGAAGGGCTGTCTTTGGACCCTCTGATAGGTCTGTGTATGCGGTGAGTGACAACAGTGATCCACTCATCCTAATGGATCCTTGGGAGGAGAAAATTCTTCATTTTTGTTTGAATGGGAATTGAAAATTTTTATTGCTTTAAATTTAATATAAGCATACTTTATAAATTCTATAGACTAAACATATAAAAAAATAAATAATATATGGATTTGGGTTCATAAATTCTTTCTATCGGGTTCATAAGTAACCCTTAAACATGAGAATGTGTCAAACGGGTTTGGGTATTTATCACTAAACCCAAACCCGATAACAAAAAACAGATCTTAAAAAAATACCATATCAGTCGATTTTTCAAAGCTAAAAAATAGGCCGATATGCCCGATATGACCCTGATATTTTCGATTTGGCCCTGAAAACCGACATACGAGTTGAAAACGTCCATGTCGTGTCGGTCAAGCCCTCAAACTGATATGTCGGCCGATATGTCAGACATGTCGGGTGACATTTAAAACCTTGTTATATATATAACCTCATCATATCTTTCATGGATCCCAAAACAATATGAGTGGCTAAAAAGTTTGATGGACAATTTTTTCCTATCCACTTAAGTTGACATAAGAATTACTATATATATATATATATATAGATATAGATATATATATACACAGAGAGAGAGAGAGAGAATAATGGGTATACCAAGCACTAAATATGGTGCTCGGTGGCGAGGTGGCCACTTCTCCTCTACTCACTCAATGGGTGAGTAAATAAGTGGGGACAATTTTCAAGTGGACACCTTTGAATGTGTGAATAGGAGCGAGCCACCTCACTATCAAAGCGTCAAATTTGTGCTTGATACCAAGCATACCCTTTATTTCATACACACACGTTTACATGTACACGTGTGTAAGCAGGGCATTGCCCTGTTTTTGCTTTAAAAAAAAATCTAAGGCCTTGTTTGGCAAGAGTTTAAGAGAAGTGTTTAGGGATTTTATCCCCTCCTTAACCATCCAAACAAGTTAATTTGATCAAAGGATTAACAAACCCTTTATAAGGGTTAAAGTTAGTTAACCTCTCACTCATTTAGAGGGGTTAATAAATCTGTCTAAAGAGGAGGATTATGAGTTACTTCCTCTTGAAATAAGAAATGACTTTAGGATATTTATGGCAACCAACTTAAAACCGACATACGAGTTGAAAACGTCCATGTCGTGTCGGTCAAGCCCTCAAACTGATATGTCGGCCGATATGTCAGACATGTCGGGTGACATTTAAAACCTTGTTATATATATAACCTCATCATATCTTTCATGGATCCCAAAACAATATGAGTGGCTAAAAAGTTTGATGGACAATTTTTTCCTATCCACTTAAGTTGACATAAGAATTACTATATATATATATATATATAGATATAGATATATATATACACAGAGAGAGAGAGAGAGAATAATGGGTATACCAAGCACTAAATATGGTGCTCGGTGGCGAGGTGGCCACTTCTCCTCTACTCACTCAATGGGTGAGTAAATAAGTGGGGACAATTTTCAAGTGGACACCTTTGAATGTGTGAATAGGAGCGAGCCACCTCACTATCAAAGCGTCAAATTTGTGCTTGATACCAAGCATACCCTTTATTTCATACACACACGTTTACATGTACACGTGTGTAAGCAGGGCATTGCCCTGTTTTTGCTTTAAAAAAAAATCTAAGGCCTTGTTTGGCAAGAGTTTAAGAGAAGTGTTTAGGGATTTTATCCCCTCCTTAACCATCCAAACAAGTTAATTTGATCAAAGGATTAACAAACCCTTTATAAGGGTTAAAGTTAGTTAACCTCTCACTCATTTAGAGGGGTTAATAAATCTGTCTAAAGAGGAGGATTATGAGTTACTTCCTCTTGAAATAAGAAATGACTTTAGGATATTTATGGCAACCAACTTCCTTAACCATTCTTTATTTACCAAACATAAAAAACTTAACCATTTATCTTGACTATCAAATTCAATCGGAATTAAATTATTTTTAACCTCTTGTGAAGGGTTAACTAAATTAGTCCTTCCCTTTAATCATTTTCCCTGAACCCCTTGCCAAGCGACACCTAAGGGAATACTCATGGAATTCATTTATATCTACTAATGATACTAAAGAATTATGGGAATTGTATTTAAACAATGAACATAAGTAGCATGAAATCTGTTTATTTTTGTAGCTTTTTGTTGAGAACTGTTTTAGTTTTCTAGTGATCTTCTTACTCCTTTATCTCATCCTATACAATTGTGATTAGTTCTTCACTAGGAGTATGTTTTTTTAATTAGATTCAGTTTCTTATTCATATGTTTTGTCCTACTGAATTTTAATCAAGGAGGTCAAACTTAAATTATATAGGACAAATGTAAGCAGAGATAAGCTTGTATTGCAACACTAACGACTTGGGAATTGACACACATTGGGAACTTGTTCAGTACTTGTTTATTATTATTCATGTGCACTTGCTTTATAGACTTATTGTTAGTAGCTTATACAGAAAAAGGAAGAATGTTGCAATTCATGATTTTATGCGATCAATGAGTGTATGAATTCTGTTGTAGACAAATGGCAATTCTAGAATTCCTGCTTAACCTATTCTCTAGTATTTCTTGTTTGCATGATGGGAAATATTTGCTGGACACATAATACTACTGTTGTCTGCAGTAACTATTTCAAGTGGATTTTACTTTTACAATGGAACTTAGAGCGATAGAACATCGTGTTATTGTTTTAATGTTATGATTTTAGCTGGGTTATAGGTTTTGGTATGTATCCCCTTTACTGCATGGCTGGTGCATTTTGAGTGTATTTACTTTTGTTCTTATTATGAATCTCCATCAAAATTGTCTTTGTTTTTATTGAGAAACATTTTGCAGTTTTCTTGTCTTTGCTTCTCAGGAATCTAGTTTCAACACTTAATATTGACTTGTGTATCTAGTACACTACCACATTCATGTCATGTCTTTATCTTTGCATTCTATTTGATGGTTGATCAGTTTATTTCAGATAAAAAGATCATACCGAAGGTGGCTAATGATGTGAAACTGATAAGTGGCGGGAAAATCTTAGAGAATCAGAAAACTGTTGCCCAATGTAGACCACCTTTTGGTGAGCTTCCTGGAGGGGCTGTTACAATGCATGTCGTTGTCCAGCCATCATCAGCGAAGTCAAAAACAGGTAAACAGTATCTAGTTATTTCATGCAGTACGTTATAGATTATTAATTTCTTGTGGATATTCTTTGTATTTTAGGGGATCTTTGCAATATGCATTTTGTTGTCTCATTCCCGTAATTGACTTCTGGTAGTACAAGCTAAGTGGTAGTTACTATTTTGAATAATAGTCACTAGAAGTCTACAATTATTTTTTGTTTTTGTTTGTTAGTCTTGAAATTAGCTAGATTTTTGTGTACATGGTCCACCCTTTTTGTTCCTGATTATTATTCTTAAGTATGGGAATTACTAAATCAGATGTAAGCTTTATTCCATTAGTATAGTAATAATTGGTTTCCATGAGGTGAGTTCTCATTTGGAACGTACTCTGTAATGAAGGAAGCCAAATAGGATACACATGCAGAATTATTCGGCAACTTGATTTATGATCTAATTTGTCATCTTTGACATTGATTATAACAAGTACCTGAGATTGTTCATTGCCATTTACATTGTATAATGAGTATCTAACTACTTGGAACCTGATTATAAAGTTTTAAACTAACTTCCTGAGGTGGATATATCACATTAAGTGAAACTATACAGTCTATACTTGACGTTTGTGAGGAATGACGCACATATAGATTGCACCAACAATTAGTCTATGCTTTAGCAGAGAAGACCTAAGACAAACATGACAATAATCCTCCCAGTGTGATTGGCCTTTCAAGGTTATAGCTGAGTTACCTGGTGTTCCACATCTAGATCCAGTTCTGTACACTTTGGTGACATGTTTGCCCTGTGATATGGGAACCTAGGTTGCTTGGTGAATGCCACAAGCTCTTAAACTGGACAGCCTTGCAAATGGACTCCGCTTAGATTCATATGGGACTAGCACAACAGACAGTGAAAAGTGGCTTGATTAATGGATTTGTGTGGAAACTGGAAACAACACTTAAAAGAAGATGTTCAAGGAAATGTACTAACCAGTCACTAGCTATGCAGACTACCTTTTTGTGTATCTTATGATTCCAAAAGGAAAGACCTTGAATTATGTAACACAAGGTCCCGGTTTTAAGTTATGAAGTGAAGGTGAAGAAGACCATTGGATTGTTGTTTATGTTGTGCAAAACTTCAATGCATCACCAATTTATTAGATCATGGCTACTTCTAAAAAGGTTGGACACACTGAAAGTCCCTTACATTATGCCAAAACTCCAAAAGTATGGTAAAGATTGAGGCTATAACATGTCTCCATAGGTTTGCCATCCTTGTGGTTCAAACCTGAATTTTCTAGGCAGCTCTAGTTAATTTAAAATGTGTCTCCAGTGGGATTTTGAGCCTAGGTTGTATATACTATATTAAAGTCCTTCCTTTCCTAGACACTAAAATTTGTTTTGGTGAGGGTTATAGTTTGATACTATATTAGACATTTTTCTTTTAGGATAACAAACATAAACTCCATAAAATGGGCTTTCTTGAGCTAAAAGTTCAAATTTTAATAATATTAGCCATTTAGCGTAGTAAGTTGCTGGATGCAGGGTCTGAAAAGGGAGACACCACAAATCACCATATAGGCCTTTCCCCAAAATAAGTGCACATCTAATAAGGTCAGTTGTTGTGTATAATTCAATATGTGAAGGTTCACGGATGGCTTAATCAAGTTTTAGTACTGAGTTGATGATGACTGTCAGTCGGTTCCTAATTTCTGATCGATTAAACTATCATCAAGGGAAAATACGGTTTGCAAATGTTGCTTGGGAAAAAACCTTCCTCTTTTCCTTACTATTTGTGTAGTTCAAGCTCGTAAAGCTGGTAAGCAACCCTTCAAATTCTACCGTTGTGAGATTAGAATAAATGTTCAGAAGGGAAGTTGTTCATATTTGAACCTTGATATGGCCCCAAGGATGCAGCCAACACATTCTTTAAAAAAAGATTTAGTGAAGATGCATAATTTCTGTGGAGGTCCTCTATCATCTGCCCTCCATTGTTTCAAGGCTTTAATCATAACCAAATTTTGTGGGCTCTGCTAGAAACAATGCTGCAGGCTTGTATTCTTTTCATGGAAGCAGAAATTTCAATCAAAGCGTGGGCTACATATTGTTAATTCTGATCTTGTGTAAGGATTAGGATTCCATCAGAGCTAGGGCAGATGCACTGAGACAATTATTATGGTGATTTGAACTGCAGGTCATATTGTTAGTGTTAATTGGAAATAGGACATTGGCATCAGATGGCCAAACAAGTTGGTGGGCAAGCTTACATATATGCATATATAAAGAAGAAAGGTAGAAAGAGTATCACATATACTAGAGGGTTAATTGTGAATAGACTCCTTGTACAATTGCCCAGATTTAGATAGACCCTTGGGGTGGGTGTGGGCTGGGCCGGTTCAGGCTCGTGACCCGGCCCATCGGGTTTAAGGCCGGGTCAGGTCTGACCCGGGCCCGCCCGGGTCTGAGTGTGCTGGGCCTATTTCTCTGATCCCGGGTTTGGGATTGGACCCGACTCTGCCAGTGACCCCCTAGGGGCGGGTCGGACCTAACCCGGCCTACGACCCATGGGTCGTGGGTCGGCCTGTGGGTTTTTTTAAACTTTTTTCTTTATTATTTTTAATTTATAAACTATATTAACTTTATATTTGTATCTATTAAATTATATTTAAATTATTTTTTCTATTTGACTATTTATTTAAAATAATATACACACATAGTGACACACATTGTATGAAGATAAAACATCACAAACACAAATATATACGTGATTCTGACTTCAATGGAAAACCTATGCCCATGGGAAGTTAATAACTTTCTTTTAGTTTAAATTTAAAGTATAAATATAAGAGGAAAAAAGAAAAAAAATGTTAACCATTAATATTTAAGGAGCCGAATTCCTCCAAGTTTATTCGTCAAATTCTTCAAGGAAAGGTCTTGTTTGCTATCCTTGTTACCGTTCTTCTGCATTGAGCTAGTCCTTTAAGCGCACACATCTCCATGTGTGCTGCTATAAGTTGTGTTCTCCATTCAGAAACTACTCTTGCCTGCTGAAAATGACACTTCTGATGCAATCGTGGAAGCATGGGGAGTTAATATATCTCTAACCACTGTAGTTAGAACATGGTAGTTTTTGGTTTCTTTCTTCCAATATTCAAGTACATTAAAAGACTCCCATGGACTTTCTTCAACTGCAGGTAGTACTGTGCTTTCTAGATACATTCGGACTTCAGTCAAACCTGCATTTGAGACTTGTTTTTTCGATTTGCTCACCATTTTCTTCAACCATTTTGGCATCGAAATAGAATTACTATTAGATGCGTATGCGTCCTTCTGAAACCTATGATGGACATATAACATCTCTATACAAAGAGTATAATTTATCTAGAGTTTTCTTAATCTCTTTTATAATATCTGCTATATCTAGGGCTGTCCAAATGAGTTTTGGGTCCAGACCCGGCTAGGCCCGAACTCGACCCGGGCCCGGGTTTGGGTCAAGTTGGTGAAGCCTGACTCGAGCCGGACCCGACCCGATTTTTAATTATATATATTATATATTTATATTTTTTATATATAATTATAGTATGATATAGTCATTAATGTATACTTATATATATTTTAAGTGTATATTGTCATTAATGTATTCTTATACATATATATTTCTAATGTATACTATATATAATTATAGTATGATATGGTCATTAATGTATAATTATATATACTTACATATAATATATAGCTATATACTAATATGTAAGTGTATACTAATACATACTTATATAAATATAATAAGATTAATTTAATTTTTTTAATCAATTTTTAGCCAAAAATTTAAAAATTAAAAAATACAGAAGAAAAATCCGGGTTGGCCTGGAGCCCGACCGGGCTTGGCCCGGACCCGAACCCAGACCCGACTCGGGCACCTCCGGTCTGGGTTTGCCGGTTCGGGCTAGGCATTTTGCTTGTGCGGGACCCGAAAATCCAGGGCCGATCCATTTGGACAACTGTAGCCATATCATGCCCATAACCCATATTGTCAGAAAAATCCTTAAGCATTCCAGATAAATTATCAAGTTTAATTCTGGGATTCATAATAGTTGCTAAATAAAAAATAAATGGCATATTTTTAAAATATTTTTTAAACTTATGCTCCATATCCCTTATGCAACCTGCAAGAAAGTCGTGAGTTCTATATTCTGCAAATAATTTAGCAATATTATTAAGATGATAAAACACTAAATGGATTGTAGAATGACGAACTCTAAAAAAGTATTCTGGTTGCTGCTAGTGTTTTTAAGGGAGCATTTAGGCGCACGCCTCGGGCGCTTCAGCGCATCGGCATAGCGCCCCGCAGCAAGTGTAGGGCGCTACACTTGCGCCAGTCGCGTGCCTGTGGAGCACCTTGTAGCGTTTGTCGCCTTTGACAAGGCATGCACATGAATAACAGGGAAGAAACCCACTTTTATTCCGTGGGTAATTGGGTATAAAACCCGCTTCCCACTTAAACCCGATTTCTTTGTTAGGGTTCTGTAGCTCCTCCACTTCTGAATCCCGATTTCTTTGTTAGGGTTATTGGGTCTCCAACTCGGCAGCAACAAAGCATTGACGGCTAGCGGTGATGGGCGATGGCGAGCGACAACGACGAGCAGCAAGCATGTACGTTCTCCTCATCGATGTTTTTCTACTCCTTTTTTTCTTTTCGTTTTTGCGTTTTCTTTTTTTCTTTTCTTTTCTCCTCAGCGAGCAGGTACGTTCTGTGTTCTTGTTTCTTTTTTTTCTTTTTTCTTTTCTTTTCGTTTTGCGTTCTCTTTCTCTGCTCCTTAGCGATGTTTTTTTTCGCTTGTTTTCTTTTCTTTTTTTCTTTTCATTTCGCGTTCTCTTAATTAAGGACAACAAGCAAGTGTTTTCTTTTTTTCTTTTATGTTTTAACATCTGAGTTTTAGTTGTTGACTGTTAAGTGTAAACTGTTAATTAAGTTCACTCTTCTAAACTTGATTTGGTTTTGTTGTTAACTAACTTACAAAGAGATTTAA